TCAATCTCTGCACTAATTGTTTTTCTTCTCATCACCCCCTTTCGTGACCCCCCTCCAAGGGGAAGACCACATTTCATGGAAGGTTAAGCTACTTTGCTGATTTGGGGTGGCTGTCCTACTCCTGAGGCCATTAGTATCATTGACAGGGCCAATATGGCACAGAGGGAATGTCTTAACTGGACTGTAGTGTAACAGCAACTCAGGAGGTTGAGGCACATGTGTGTACCAGGAGAAGGACAAATAATCAATATTACAGTCTCTTGAAATACCCTTTTGAGTAGTAGTAGTCGAATAGTCTTCTTGTTCATAAGTAGTCAATAAGTGGGCCTTAAGTTGATGCTGTGGGCAGTAGTGGACTATTCATGGATGGTGATAGCCATATATATATCATATCTTCCCTCAGTTTTGTCCATAATAAAAAATCAATTACAAATTAAATTATTAATTAATACAAATTATTTATTTCACCCACCTAAGGAGAGACCCACACATTTCATAACCCTACAAAAAGCCTCTGAAGTTCTATGTAGAGTGGTGTTTTATGCAGCTTTCTTGGTAACATAATTGGTTCACTAGGCAGGAAGTGATTTGACTGGTAAAAACAATAGTCTCAAGTTTATTTCTTCTACATTTGTGTTGCAAATGTCGCAGATAAACTCAACTTGTAACAATTAGAAACTCATCTCGTATTAAATGATAAACTTGAAAAAAGTAAGTGAGGCCACTCTACATACAATACATGGAAATAATGATAAATGAAGAGTGAACCATGAACAATAATAACAGTGTTGATTGCAGTTATAATCAGGAGACCCTGGTGACCATTAATATCCAGCAGTCTTTTGATAGCAGTGAAGGTAAGAAGAAAGAAGAGATATTATTTTCCCTTTCTCTTCCATTGTTCACCCTTTGTTGAATATAGTTCTGTCGGTAAGCAGTGTGACTGATTGATTCACCCTTATAGACAGTAAAGATTAAGAGGATGACAAATCAGCATTTGCTTACACAGCGCCTGTTGCTAATCTCCTTGTCTTCCTCCAGAAAGCCCCCAGACGACTGAGGCTCACACACTCATTCTAACAGGGAGAAAGAAACGAGAAGACAAGGAGTAACCACTGACCCCACATTACAACAGAAACAACAGAGAAAAGGACTTCAGCACTGGATCAACATCATCGAGCTTCCCTGGAGTTACTCCCTGATGATCTCTGAAGAAATTCCATCTGAACTCTGAATTTTACATCTGTTTTGTTTTTGGGGCATTGCATGTGTCAACACTTCACATGACGAAATGCTTTGATCCAGACAGGCAACTACGCTGGAAATAAACTTATAATTGTCTAAAAAAAAAAAGAAAGTAATTAAGTGAAGTTCAGACATAATAACACATCTCAAAATGGAGGACCACATTACCAAAATGAGCATGTTTTCTTCTGACATCTCTGATGACTGCACAGATGGAACTGAGTCAGGTGAGCCACCAATTGTTGTAATATGCCAGTCGCTGTACATCAGATTATGTTGTCATAATATTATGATGTCCATAATATTTTTGTGTATCGTGTATACAATAGAAAGAAATAGAATATGAGGCCAAAACAAATAAATAAATGATTTCATGAAAAACCCCTCTGCGCAGTCTTCTGTTCATCCTTGAAAGGGTGTGAAATAAAGTTTAACATTCATTTGTTCTGTCTGTTCTCTACAGAAAAAAGTTCAGTCCCAGGTAAAGCACTTGGCCATGGCTTGCTTTGTAAAGTGTGTTCTGATTCAAGCAGTGGTAAACACTATGGCATCTATGCCTGCAATGGCTGCAGTGGCTTCTTCAAGCGCAGTGTGAGACGAAGGCTCATCTACAGGTGAGCGAGATGCAGACTGGACTTAATACAGAAAGTTTTATCCAAAGAGGGTAAATGTAAATAACAGAAAAATTATACTCATTTGAGAATTAACTTGCATTTTTAATATTTTATTTCTTTTTATTCAGAAAATTGTTTTTTGTCAAAATCATAGGTGTCAGGCTGGAACTGGAAGGTGCCCTGTTGACAAGGCTCATCGCAACCAGTGCCAAGCTTGTCGACTAAAGAAGTGTCTCCAAGCTGGCATGAACAAAGATGGTGAAAAAAATATTCTAAATAAGTTGACTGTAGAGTATACTATCTGTGCATATATCCTTTCTATCATAGGACAGTACAAATCCTGTATAGCTTTGCATGTTAAACAATATATTATTTACCTTTCCCCTTGGCAGCTGTGCAGAATGAGCGACAGCCCAGAAGCACAGCACATGTCAATCTAGACTCTATAAGCGTGGACACGAAAAAGGAGCACTTGGCCACCACACGGGAACTCACCTCCTCTGCCGCCTACTCATCGGCCATCTGCAGACCTCTGGTCACCTCATCTGTCACCACCTCTCCCGCCACACAGCCCTGCAGCAACCCCAGCAACAACCATCGCTTTATGGTCAGCCTGCTGACTGCTGAGACGTGTGCAAAACTGGAACCTGAGGATGGTAAGATAATATCAAGGATGTTAAATTTTGATGGATCTGGGCAGAACATGTATACACAAGTATGTAGTGAGACATGGGGCAAATCATTTTAAGAAAAAAAACACTCAAACTATGATATCTTTTTGCCTACCTAGGTGATAAACAAAAGGGATTGTCTCTGAGTCACAAAAACTTATCTGGATCTTTAAACAGAACAATAATGTACTCCCAGAAACCCTAGAAAATTTGACTTACTCTCTTACTCTAATGTACAGTGGAGGAGAATATTGATGTGACAACAAACGATTCAGAGAGAGATCGGACTCCGTCTGACTTTCGTATGTCCCCATACACCTCCAGCTGCTCAGAGAGTGTATATGAGACATCGGCACGACTCCTCTTCATGTCTGTCAAGTGGGCAAAAAATTTGCCCGTTTTTGCTCACTTGCCATTTCGAGACCAGGTGAGCTTGACTGCTGTATGTCCTTGCATATTTACTGAAGCGATTTACACATACGTGAATCGTGGGTGAGACTTACAACACATGCTGTATGTCTGTGATATCCTCAGGTGATTCTCCTCGAGGAAGCCTGGAGTGAGATGTTCCTCCTGTGTGCTATCCAGTGGTCCCTGCCCATGGACAGGTGTCCTCTTCTGTCTCTGCCAGACCTTTCCCCCACACAGCAGGCCAAGATCGGCCTCCCCACAGCTGACCTGCGCATCTTGGAGGAGGTCTTTAATCGCTTCAAGGCCCTGGCTGTTGACCCTACTGAGTTTGCTTGCCTGAAGGCCATTGTACTGTTCAAACCAGGTAAGGAGTCATTTTTCCAGCAACAGGTGTTCATTTTTGAATAGACAGTTTATCTAATGTCTGCTGTTTGACTTCCTGGAGCAGAGACACACAGCCTCAAAGACCCAGAGCAGGTGGAGAATCTGCAGGACCAGTCGCAGGTGTTACTGGGTCAGCACATTCATTCAATATACCCCAGCCAGAGCGCCAGGTGACCCTGCTGTACCTTTATTTTCTGACAGGATACACATATTTTCAAACATAAGAATATCTGGATTGTGTGAGGTTTGTACTGTAAATGGCAATAGAAACATTAAATTCACTCTACTTTGTTCTTGTCCATCAAGGTTTGGGAGACTGTTACTTCTGCTGCCATCCCTCCGCTTTGTGAGCTCTGAGAAAATAGAGCAGCTGTTCTTTCACAGGACCATCGGCAGCACACCCATGGAGAAGCTGCTGTGTGACATGTTCAAAAACTGAACAACGTCAGGAGAAGCCGAACTCTACCAGGACAGCACAATGAACCAACCCTCAAACAACAAGTTTCCTCATTATGCATAGTTCACATATTCTGGTTTTTACTTTTTTAAAATTCAACAAAATAGACATTTTCAGAGAAGACATTTTGACATGTCACTAGAAAAAGCACTGGTAGGCCTATAACTAATAAAATGAATGATAGCTGAATTCCATTCAGCTTCAGTTTCAGGGTCCTGGTATTGTGTATGCTGGCTCACTGTCGCACTGATTATTGGACCATGATTTGTATCATTTGTAAAACCTGTGCTTTTCCTACAGTATACATTTTTTGTTCAGTGATTAACACCATTTACTCTGTAATTTTACAATTTTGTTAACCACAGATATTAGCAAATCATTTTGCATAGGCACTGAGTTGCAGGGACAAGCATATTTTATGTCAGTAAATGAAAACGAAAATGTGTGTTTGAATTTGCCCTAAATAAATTTTGTATTGCTTTATTTGACAAGTATGTTAATTTTTTGGTCATTTCTGCCATTTATTTACACACAAGACATATTACAAAACAATGATACAAAGAACATACACTATACAAAACATACAGTATAGCTCAGGTCATTCTCATTTATATGATTTACAGTCTGACTGATTGGCATGGTTGATATTTTTTGGCTGATTTTAGCTCATTGTGGATTTATCAGTCACTGTATGTCAGCCAATATGTAACAAGAATTTTCAGCACAGAAGCACAATACACCAAAGGTATGTCTAGGTATTGGAAACTTTGTCACCTACATTTGTCCACCAGTGAGCTCTGACAAGTTTATTTATCTTGATCACAATTATTTAAGGACGCAATATACATGGCTTTTTATGAAAAATGTATATGCCACCCTTTTAAAGGTTTATTCAGTTTTCGAAAACACAATCATATATCTTGGGTGGTCTGAAAAATACAGTATCTAAAATGAATTGTCTCTTGGACATTAGGACAATATTTAAGGTGGTAATGAGCTTGCTATAAAATTCAGGATCCCGGATACTGTGCGGCGTCCTTGGTTTAACTCTTCATCACCTAGTACAGTACAGTAACATCTGAGAGCACAAATGTCTAATAGGGAATGGGAAACCATGTCAGATCAGCTTTGAGCTCTGCCCTATCCTAAACTTCAGGAACCATTAGGTGGCGGTAATAAGCGCATTTACTGATGAGTCTGTAAACACACAGAAGAAGAGCAGCAACAAAACACGGAACAACTTTATGCTAGCTGGTTAGCATAATAAACTAAAAACATAACGACATTGTTTTTAACGGCTTTGGTTTACAGCTACAGCGGAGACATATAAATAATATGAAGCTGCTTAAGACCAGACACAATGTTTAGCAAGTCGTATCAGCTGCTCCCTCAGAGGGACTCCACAGCTCCGAGGACTCCTGGCCTGTTTGTGGACACTGACAGCTTCTCACAGCGCCGCTACCACAAAGGACTTTCATTTGACTACATCCCCAATGTTTCTGAAAACGACTTCACTGGTAGGTAACTAACTCTGTATTGCAGCCAGGTGACACAGTGCACAGGCACAGACTTTGAACATAAATCATAATAAAACGCATATAATAAAAAATATGTTCAACATTTGCCAAAACCCAAACCCACTACACAAGCTGCTGTAAAATACACTTAATATAAATGGGAGGATCTGAAGAAGAAAGATTAAAAAACAAACAAACAACATATTCAAAATGAATGTGTCACACTTCTCATAATGTAGTGTAATGTTTAATGAGACCCTTCCTGCCCTGCTTCAAGCCACAAACAACATCATGTAACTGTTCTTTCAGGCTTCCCATGACTGGTTTACTGAAAGTACCCTTGAGAGCGATGACTCTATGACTCTGTCTGATTCTTTCTTTCTTTTCTTAAAGATACTTCTCAAGGATGGCTGTCCTGGATTTGCAACCTGGTTGTCATCTTTCTCGTCTACATCTGCACCTTTATAACCTTCCCCATAACAGGATGGTTTGTACTGAAAGTAAGCTGAGATGATCTCTCATCAGTTACTCCCACAGCATGTCCACTCAATTGCTGAGAATAAAGACAACAACAACTGTGACTGATTTTGTCTGCAGACGGTGCCTAACTACCAGAGGATAGTAGTGTTTCGTCTGGGGCGAGTTTGTCCTCCCAAGGGCCCTGGTATCGTGCTCGTGCTGCCCCTCATTGACCAGTGGCAGAAAGTAGACTTGCGCACCCGCGCTTTCAACATCCCTCCTTGCCAGGTAAACCATCTAGCAGGTACTCCATTTATCATAGGTCAGCTGCTGTGATGGACAACTTGTTGAAGTCATGAAGCACTGAAGCATTAAGTTTGCCCAAGCCAGGAAAAATTAAGTTACTTTACTGAACATCAAACAAGTGAAATGAAAGCTAGATATTGATTAAGATGCCAAGATGTTGTTCTTTTAGCTTACAGACACATGGACCAGGTCTTTAATTTCATTCATAAGGTAAACTACACACAGAAAAATGGCAGTGTAACTAATGTATACAGTATTTCAAACAATATACAACGGGTGTTTTCATCACAAAGATATTTTTATGTTCATCACAGGCACTCAGATCCCAGCACAGTGTCTTGTTTCATCGTGTAACATGTTTAATACGAGATTCTTCTTCGACACGTGAGCTGAGGAGTCTTAGTTGCTCATCAACCATACTGAGTTAAATCAACATTTCTGTTAGTTGTGAATGTTTTACTTTGTCCTACAGATGGCGGTGTTGGTACACTGTAGTTCAGTGTGAAGGGGAAGCGTGTAATGGAGACTGGGAGAACTATGATTACAGTGTGATGCTTGGAAGTTTTAATGTTATGCTGCCAGCAATTTATTTGAAAATATTTAAAAGTTAGCATCAAGCCTTAGGTACATTAAACTTTTTGTGTTCTGAATTTTTTGTTTTTAGTCCTGTGTCTTTTTCTCATTTTCACATTTCCTTAGCCTTCTAGTCTCACCCCAAAATAAACTATTTAAAATAATTACATGCAAATGCTTGGGTAATGGCAAAATTTAGTTTTTTGAAGCCTGTATCACAAGCACAGCTTCAACACTAAATGTATTTCAGCAAAGCTGTGGTGCCAAGCTTGTGATTTGTTTTTGTGCTGATACCAACACTCTCCTTCTGGGCAGTTAGAATTTGTCTGAAACTGTATATTCAGTGTTACACAGTGAACATCGCTTGCCAGTACCTGTTGTAAGACTGAAGAGTAGATGTTTCCATATTCTTTAAATTGTGGCAAATGTGTCCAAATAAATTCAGCTGTCATGTTAAATATAGAATGTTATTCTGCTATTGCAGGTGACCACTCGGGATGGCGGTGTGTTGTCAGTGGGAGCAGACATTCAGTTCAGGATCTGGAACCCCGTCATGTCAGTGGTATCAGTCCAGGACCTGAACGCCTCAACCAGGATGACAGCACATAATGCTTTGACCCACAGCTTGGCCAAGAAGACTGCCCGGGAGGTCCAAACTGAGAGGCTTAAACTGGGAGAATATCTTCAGGTCAGACTACATTTGAGCTACTCTCTGCTGGGCTTGTAACTGATTCAGCTCAGACTTACATCCTTTCTTGCCGTTTACAGGTGGATATTAATGACATGACTCAACCCTGGGGGTTGGAGGTAGACAGGGTAGAGCTTACCCTGGGCTCTCTCCTGAAAGCCCCAGAAGAAGTTCCCTCTGGGCCCCTCATCATGCCCTCTTCTGTGCCTGGACTGGAAGGCCTCACTGGCCCCATTCAGCAGTTGGCCATGCACTTTCTGAACCACAGCGGCAGTTCACAGCCTCAACAAGGTTTGGCCCCACACTCACAACTGCTTCCGTACAACATGTACACATTATCATGGTGTTGTATGATAAACCTGTGCCTTTTACTCCTCAGAAGACAGCATAACTTTTACAGATGAGCTCAGCAGTGTCGCTCAGGCCACACCAGGTTCTGTGGAAGAGCTGCTCGACAGGGTAAAGCTCCTGCTTTCTGAAACTTTGGTCTGTCAGGTTGGGGCCTGTTTCCAGTTCGACATCAGCTCAGGAGATGGACAACATCACAGTTACTATTTGGATTTAAGCCAAGGTAATGGTTCAGATATTGTTGTGAATATGCAACAATTATAAGAGAATTTTCATTGAGATAAATCCTGTAATTGAATGCAAACAAAATAAATCTGTGTAATAATGCTCAAATGTCTGTGGTAAATAGAAACAAAAGTACAGTTACATAAATATCTTTAATATAAAATTTCTCTATTACTCTGTGTGTGTGTGTGTGTGTGTGTGTGTGTGTGCGCGTGTGTGCGCGCGTTCTGTAGGTAGCGGTGCAGTTGGAGCAGGGTGCTTGTGCAGAGAACCAGATGTGACATTGAGTATGAGTGACATCGACCTTCTGGCCATGTTCCAAGACAGGCTACGACCATTTGCTGCATACACCAGTGGCAGACTTAAAATCCAGGGAGACATAAAGACCGCCATGAAGCTGGAGGAACTCATAAAGCTACTTAAGAAATAGCGTTCATAGTAAAATTTGTATATGTATTTATGAAATCTGTAATTTTAACTCTAAAGTTGATTTTTTTTCATGTACATTACAGTACATTTTTCATTACATTTGTTATAAACTAAATTTCTGTGATGGCCTTGTTTTTTCTTCACAAATCAAAGCTTGTTTACAAAAACAACAAACTTTTTGAAGGTCTCCAGACCTAATTTTAGCTGGCTGAGTCTAAATAGTTTCTGGCATTGTTACAAAATGAAATATTCAGTAATGCATCTTAAAAATGCCATACACAGACATATTGCACTGTGGTGTATTCTATTAGGCTGTAATCTCTCTCTCACATTAAATCGAAGGCAACTGGACTTGTATTTGTCTGTGGAAGACGTTTCGCCTCAAGCAGCTTCATCAGTTAGCTTGGATAAGAGGCGAAACGTCTTCCACAGACAAATACAAGTCCAGTTGCCTTCGATTTAATGTGAGAGAGAGATAACAATGACCTGGACGAATGAGAACATTCACAGACAGATATTAGGCTGTAAATATCAACTGGAGAGCCTTTATCAGCACAGCAAGGGGGGGGGCGACTATTTAGACCAGCCTCCTTTTGCACCAGATGTCCCTGGGAGAGCCAGAGAAGCTGCTGAGGATAGAGCACAGTGATCATTTTTGTTGCCACGATGGCTAGGTGGAGTGTGTGGCGCAGCCCTGTGACGCTGCCCCTACCCTGGATAGAAGAGTTGACATCAGGTGTGCGCTGCAGCAGTAGCATGCCAGTGGTCAAACAGGCGTTCTCAGAAAGTGGCAGTATTGTCAGGCCTTTCAGGGAGATTCCTGGACTGTGGAAGAATGGGGCGGCCAACTTGTACAATTTCTGGAAACTGGATGGCTTTAGAAACCTTCACCACATTATGGTTCAGAACTTCAAAACTTTTGGACCCATCTACAGGTATGGATGTCTAGGTGGTTTACATTACTTTAATAAAAAAAAATAAAATAGCTGCATAATGCTACTGTGTATCTCAAGTAATAATGACAAAACATCAAGGACTTTGAATTACGTCACTAGCAAGATATTTTGTTGTCCAAATCTAAACATTTTGTGTTCAAGAAGAATATCTGTGACCTACAATCCACAAGGTCATGTTTTCTAAAAACAAGCAGCTGATATATATTCACCCTTTCTTTTCTCTTTGTGTATGTCAGAGAAAAAATAGGTTATTATGAAAGTGTAAATATCATCAATCCTGAGGATGCTGCCATCGTGTTCAAAGCAGAGGGCCATTATCCTAAAAGGCTGAAAGTTGAAGCGTGGACAGCATACAGAGACTACAGGAATCGCAAATATGGAGTTTTATTAAAGTATGTGGTATTATTATACGTTTCTACCTGTATAATTTCTGTTTTACTAATATTTTGACGGAACCACAGGTTTTATTGATTGCTATAACACTGTGCCTACTAGTTGCCTGGCTAGTTTGAAGTTGACATCCTATCTTCCTGCAGGAATGGAGAAGACTGGAGATCAAACCGGGTGATTCTCAACAAGGAGGTGATTTCCCCAAAAGTGCTGGAAAACTTTGTGCCTTTGCTGGATGAAGTGGGCCAGGATTTTGTGGCTAGAGTTCACAAAAAGATAAAGCGAAGTGGCCAAAACAAATGGACTACCGACCTCTCTCAAGAACTCTTTAAATATGCACTAGAATGTAAGACTTACTTTCAACTCTCTTGATATTTATCTATTATCCTCACTGTATCGGCCAGTGCCCTTTTTTTCCTCACATTGCTTACTCTTTACACAGCGGTGAGCTCAGTGCTGTATGGTGAGCGTCTGGGTCTGATGCTGGACTACATTGACCCTGAAGCTCAACATTTCATCAACTGCATCACCCTCATGTTCAAGACTACCTCACCCATGCTCTACATACCTCCTGGTCTGTTGAGACAAATTGGAGCGAAGGTGTGGCGGGACCATGTGGAGGCTTGGGATGGGATCTTCAACCAAGGTCGGACTCAGAGTACCAGGATGAATTTTTACAGTTTTGATGTCATGATGTTTTCAAGATGTATTAGCAGAACACCAAATTGAGATTATAGCCTGAAAACAACATTTTCCTTTTTTCCATTTGTACTGTATACGGTGGAGCTTCTTATTCCAGTCTCATCCTTTTGTTGCATCAGCGGACCGCTGCATCCAGAACATCTACAGACAGTTGCGTCAGGAAACTGGCACTCAAAAGAAATACCCAGGAGTCCTGCCCAGCCTGCTTATGCTGGACAAGCTATCCATTGAAGACATCAAGGCCAGCATCACTGAGCTAATGGCTGGAGGAGTAGATACAGTGAGAAACAAATCATTTCTTTTCAGAGTGTGACTTCTTTTCGGCTTTTTAAGACCGCTTAGTTCTGTTTTTGTGTTTCAGACTTCTATAACGCTGCTGTGGACATTGTATGAACTAGCCAGGCACCCCAACCTCCAGGAGGAGCTGAGGGCGGAGGTGGCGGCAGCTCGGGCTGAAAGCCAGGGAGACATGCTGGAGATGCTGAAGCGGATTCCCTTGGTTAAAGGAGCTCTGAAGGAAACACTGAGGTGAAAGAAACAGTTTCACAAGGATTTGTGACAATGCCCTTGCCCTTGCTAACTGTCTAAGTCTGGGAGCCCTTCCTGCCCCCTGCTAAGTTGACCCTTGATCTTGTCTGTATCACACTGTAATGCATAGGTATTCAAAGAGGTGCAGTTACACAAAATTTCCTCATATAGATATATACATAGGACTTGAATGATTTTCTTCAACAAAGGCAGTAGATTATAGGTGCATTAGAAGACTTTAATTTCCTCGGAGGCATTCTACAGTACAAAATGCACCTTGTGGTAGACCTAATCTTAAATAAGGCCCACTAATACGATATCACACATAGTTTCTCTAATACAATAATACATTTTCCACTAACCCATAATGCATTTGCTCTGATAATGAACTTTTTTTAACTCTCAATTCTGCTACAGAGTTAAAAAGTTTCTTTCAATATTGAATTTTCACTTTCATACCACAGGTTACACCCAGTTGCAGTGAGCTTGCAAAGATACATAGCAGAAGACATCATTATTCAAAACTACCACATCCCAGCTGGGGTAAGAGGCAGTTATGAATCTTCAAGTCATGTTTTTGTATTTTTTTTTGTATTTTTTTTTTTTTAAAGAGACTGTGCAGTGTCAGAGGGAATGCTCACCGTTTTGTGTTTGTGTTTAGACTTTGGTTCAGTTAGGACTATATGCAATGGGAAGAGACCCCAAGGTGTTTTTTCGTCCGGAGCAGTATCTGCCTTCCCGCTGGCTGAGGACGGAGACGCACTACTTCAGAAGCCTGGGCTTTGGCTTTGGCCCCCGCCAATGTTTAGGACGCAGAATAGCTGAGACAGAGATGCAACTCTTCCTCATCCATGTGAGATATACAAAGAAAAAAGAGCACTTTCACCACATTTTATCACACATTTACACATCATATTAATTGTTTCCATTATCTTTGGCATTTGCAGATGCTTGAGAACTTCAGAGTGGAGAAACAGCGCTATGTGGAAGTGCAGAGTACCTTTGAGCTCATCCTCTTACCAGAAAAGCCTATAATTCTGACTTTGAAACCCCTACAAACTAGTCAGCAACACCATATTTGAGAGAAAAATGTGGTGCATGACAAATCAGGCCCATTTTTGTTATCCTTTATCATACATAATTGTAAAGGGCTTCACAAGGTACCACAATATACTGTAAATACAGAGTAAAATCTTCCAACCTGATTCGCTGACAGAAAGCAAGAAAAAAACTCGAGGAAGGAAAAAGAAATGTGCATGAACAAGTTACCTCAGATAATCCATAACTGGTGAACAAATTAATTATGTGTTTTGTATATTACTTAGTGAATAATAATGGAAATGTGTAGTCTGTGTGTGTACAATATACTGACAAACCTGGAATGTACAGTATCTTTATTCCATAATATGTGAAAATATAAAAAAAATAACTACCTAAAAAAATAAATAAAACAATACAACTGACAGGAAATATGTCTTGTACGTTTTTTTCCAGTAGTTCATTTGCAGGTCACTTTTCAGGTTTCCGCTTCCTCTGTATGCTTTGCTGATTTAAGGAATCTGATACAACCCCCTCCTGTAAGAAGTACAACAGCGGGGTAAATCATTCCATGTTGAATACCTTATGAAATGAAGCACAGTATGTAAAATTGATGAATGACTAACTGACCGAAGAAACATTATGAAGGATTGTGGTGGATGATCGGACGAAGCCGTGCCTGTGCTCGCTCAGTTTGGTCAAAAGATCCTGTTTCTGTCTCCCCCACAATTTAAAGTTCTCCTCCATCTGTATTAGAACAAAGGCAAAACATGCAAGCAACCATGAACCATGAATGAGACATATACAGTACAAGAATGTTTAATTTCTTTACCTGAGCCTCCAGTGTTTGGACTCTTGCCTCCGCCTTCTCTAGTTTATTCAGTAAACTCAGTCTTTCCTTGAGTGGTAGTACTTCCTTTCTCTGAGGGGGGCATGATACACGTCACTTTGAGAATTTCAATTGAGAAATCAATTGACTTGAATGTGTGGGAGTACCTGCGCTGCCTGCTGTATGATGACGGGGGCAGGCTGCCTGCGAATCCTGTCCAGCTCTTCTCTGAGACGAGAGTTTTCTGCTGCCAGGGCCGACTCTATTTCTTCTGTTCTGCGGTCAGTTTTACCTACACAGCACGAAGAGAGGTCTAGTGTCCTGGCCACACATGTTTTCGTGAATATACACCCACTGAGCATCAGGAACATGTGTACACCTGTTTATTCATGCAAGTATCTAATCAGGTAGCAGCTGTGTAATATATGAAATCATGCAGATACAGGTCAGGAACGTCAGGTAATGTTCACATCAAACATCAGACTGGGGAAAAATGTGATCTCAGTGACTTTGACCATGGCACGATTGTTGATTGTTTGAGGTTTGGGTAATTGTGAAACTGCTGATCACCTGGGATTTTCATTCACAACAGTCTGCAGAGTTTTTACTCAGAATGGTGCAAAAAACGAAAACATCTAGTGAGCAGCAGTTCTGGAGACAGAAACACTTGGATGATGAGAGGCGTCAGAGGAGAATGGCCAGACTGGTTGGAGGTGACAGAAAGGCCACGATAACTCAGATCAACACCAACTGTGGTGAGCAGAAAAGCATCTCTGAATGTAAAACATGTTGAACCTTGAGGCAGATGGAAACAGCAGAGTATCACGTTGGGTTCCACTCCTGTCACTCAGGATCAGAAATCTGAGGCTGCAGCGGGCACAGGCTCACCAACAATGGACAGATGAAGACTGGGAAAATGTAACCTGGTCTGATTCAGTCGGAATGGTCATTTTTGCACTTTATTTTCACTGAAAAAAATATAAAAATGGTGATGTGATTTTTGTTGGGTCTTGTACCAAACAAACATGTTCCTTTACGTCTGGAGAATATGATTTGTAGGCCAGGGCGTCTCCGTAGCACCACAACGCTAATGGTGCTAACAATGCACAACAACATTTTATCTTTATCAAAAAAATTCAGGTCCTGCGATTTGGATATTGCACTTGGCCATATTGCGCATTTGATTAAATTTGATTAATTGTGCAGCCCTATTGCTGACCATGTGCATCCCTTCACGGCCACCACCATCTTCTATTGGCTACTTTCAGCTTGATAATGCACTGCGTTACAAAGCAAAAGTCATCTTATACTGATTTCATGAACGTGACAAGGCGTCCAGTTTAACGGAACAGTCACAGCATCAATGTGTAGCTGGTCGACATGGACCAGAATCCAAAAGCAATGTTTCCAACATCTTGTGGCATCCATGCCACGAAGAACTGAGGCAAAGAGAGGCTCTACCCAGTATTAGTATGATGTTCCTAATAAAGTGCTCAGTGACTGTATATTTTCATCTCACTCGGTCCACTCACCTCTGTGCTTTTTCAACGCCAGACTTTTGTCACCACTTTGTCTGTTCTTCTCTCTGAGTTTGCCATCTAAGACTTTCTCCATCTTCTCAATGACCTAAAAAAATCGGCATAGCACAAGTATAAAGGATATTATCCTCACATATGCATTTCATAGACAGAAGCATTCCCTGTCGATAAATTGGATACAACTGGTATACCAATATGTGCAGAGTGAACAGACAGCGTTGCTCACTGTTCACCTTTTCCTGCTGTTTGACTGTGGCCTCCAAAGTTGCCATCCTTGCCAAGCGACTCTGGTGGTGCTGCAGATGCTCCTCCTGCTGCTGCTGCTGCTGCTGCTGCTGGTGGGCTCTGTGAAGTTTAAGCAGCTGCTTCTCGCTGTCATTCTTCTGCACAACACACATGTAAAGAAGACAGAGTAGAAAACCACATAAACACGACAAATACATTGACAAAAATTGTTTTAAGTTTCATTTGTGTAATGTGTGTTTGGTTCATCTTTTAACCTTGATCAGCTCATTTTGCAGCTGTTGGATCCTGTCCCTTTGCGAGGCCGCCTTACTGGTCTCACTTGCCAGTTTGAATTTCAGAGAGGCTTCAAAAGAACAACAGGACAAATTGTACACAGCAGCATACATTTGGGTAAAGATACATTTCTGTCTGTTATTTGTGCAGGCATAAGTACGTGCTGGTTTTTGGATTCATATGTTCATTTGGGAAAAGCAAGTTGACAGCTAATCATACCTAAGATGAGAGTGAGCATTTGATATGGAAACTCTGAAACTATTTAAAATTTAGAAAGATGGACATGTCGAGTCTGAGGCTTGGCCATTTGAACAATAATGATCAAAGCACCCATCAATAAGTCCTTTGAAATCTAATGGATTTTCTTTCGGATGTGACTTAAATCTAGTCCCTGCTTTGATGCCGGCAGAGAAACCTTCATGAAAATCCTTTCATTGAGGGTCACAAACTGTCCTTCAGGAGATAAGGGATGTACTACCCACAGAGCTTATCAGGGTCTGTGGCCTAAATGAGCTGCCTTATCACAAAACAGCACAGTCTGCTCGGGAAGAGACACTCACAAGGATTTGCAAACACACAGTGGGCCACCTTCCACATCACTACATCGTGTGCCAGTGAAATGCCCATAAATTCATAGCAACATGGAGTGAAGGTTCAACAACTGCTGGCTGGATAGTAAACTTTCTGACATTAATGAATCTGAATATTTGTCTACATTTGATCTCACCTTTTGAAGAGCTGAAAGAATGTCAGTCACTGTTTTTTTTTTTTTTTGCATGGTTTTGGTTCAGGCTAGTTTTAAGACAGCGCGCTAATGAATGAATGGTTGAGTAATTAACCATAGCGCCCTGCTGTGGCTTACCTATGTGGTCAGAAATCTCAGCCTTGGTCATGACGTCAATGTCTGTGTCATCCAGCAGATCTGGGCCAAGGTGCTGGTGCAGAGACAGATCACTGCGGAGCTGGCTGTTTTCTGCTTCCACCGTCACCAACTGCGTCCTCAGCACTATGATATCTTCTGCCATCTTATTCATGGCTGAGCGATAGTTTTCCACCTCCTGATGGAGAAGTGTCGCCTGTCAATCTCATGCTAGAATCTTGAAGGGGGATATTTGTTATAGTTTTTTAACAATAGTAATTTCATCCCCATTCCAAGTCAATCCCCTTCAGTGCTCATTAGTAAAACTGTGTTTAGGTTTGAGTTGCATGATGATAATCAAGGTTAGTGTAAAGTACAAAAATGACTGAAAACCATTTCCCCCAATGGAAAACCTCAAGCTCATTTGTATTCAAATAGCCAGAAACATTGACTGGTGTTTTTTTGTCTGAGTCAGTCTCATGTCTTTTCTTTTTTTCTACAAATATCGAGAGCAAAACAGGGCCAATGTCACATAACTGTCAACAAAATCCCAAGTAGTCCGGTGGGATGTTTTGATGTTGTGCTGTTCTACATGAACACCGCCTCTAGGTGTCTCTTCAACCCCATCTTTTGATAAAGTCCTCCAGGATGCAGTCAACAGGACATTTCTCAACACTAAGATCCCAGCAACAAATATGCATTGCATGTATAGTTTGTCATGAGGCTTAGTGTCTCAATAAATAATTGATTATTCCCAGTTTAAAATAAGCACATAACATGAGAAATGGCTAATGGGACATAGTTGAGCCAAAAAAGACAATTATGCCATAAAGTGTGATGTTCCTGTTAATCGATTGTCTAAGGCTGGGTTACAATGAATTCAGACCCCAGCTCCTCAGATCCAGGGGGACAATAACACCCTACCCTTCGAAGGTCTTTTGTCACGGGAGCTTTAACTGAGGATTTTGGATAAATCCTAGCGGTGCATTCAGGGAGCGTGCTACTGTGAAAGCCCATTTGCTGAACTCTAGAGGTGAAACTCCTGCCAAATTCCTGAGGGTATTTCAGTGAGACTAAAAAATGACACTGAATTTTACAAATTTTTTGCTTGCCTTTTCACATTCTTGTTGCCCTTCTTTGAAAAGAAAATCCTCACTGATTATAGTTTCCTGGAAAGCACTCAGAGATGCTTTCCAGGAAATGTATTGTTGCAGAGCTGTTATCAGGGCATGTTTCTGTGTAATGCATGAGCCTGTTGTCTATCAGTATTGTTCTCTGCTCTGTCACATGCCCCTCCATCAAGTTGAATAGATGGAAATGAATGGAGTCTGAAAGCAGGGTCCAGCTGCATGTGTGTGTGTGTGTGTGTGTGTGAGGTGGTGGTGGTGGTGGGGGCGATTAGGAGATTCCAATCTCGGATGGTGTGTTTGTGACTCCCATGGGACACAAGGGTGAAATTGAGCATCTAATTGAAAGGGCAGGGAAGAGGTGACAATCATGACTGTAGATGAGGTGGTGTCTCTGTTGGGGGGCCCACAGGCATGATGGGAAGGACGGCTCCCCATGATGAGTCTGGAAAGTCCCTTCATGTGTCAAAAATAAAAGGGGAGCCTCTGTGAACCTCGGTGAACACTGGAGGTTCCCTCCCCTCTCTGTGATTTGAAGACATTAAAATGGTCTAGCTGTCACACATACTGTCACTCCTGGACAATAATGTACCAAAGAAAGAAAGTAGCTGGATTGAAGCATGAGGATGTGATGCTTAATTTGGCTTTTCCAATCCGTTATCATTATCATTATGCATGTACAGTAGTATCATGCACTAATGGATGCAGTGTCACTGTGAAATCATCCAATTAATACCAAGAGCTCTGCCTTCTTCTTCATTCAGTCAAAATCTACATGAAGCAACATAAAATCTACATGCATACATATCATTTCAGCCAATCCACAAATCTAAACAGCGAATTTAAATAAATAATCAAATTCTGAAGAAAAGCTCACAGCAACAGGAGAAAATGTCAGGATATGCATACAGTATACAACACTCTCAGACCTTAGCACAAGCTTAAAGCTCATCAGCTCGATCCTCCTTAAGTGCAATCAGTCTGAGAAATGTTAATCTATTCCACTTGCTGCCATTTTGTCTCCTGTGCAGCTGTGAGTTTCTGCTTCATCTCACAGGCCCTCCCCTGTCGCTGTTCACTAACTAAACGTGACAGTGGGGATTGCCTCACTGATTGATTGTAGAGTTAACGTATTGATTGTGTCCAATCACCTTAGTTTGGAGGTTGGCGATCTCTGCCATGTTGGGATCATCCTCAAAGTTGTGCAGAGGGGGTCTGAAGCATGGACACATTTCATAAAAATGACTCATAACAGTAAGTGAAATGAATCTATAAAATCTCTGTTTTAGTCTTACTGAAATATTATTTATTAAGTGATCGTCACAATAAATCCATGTTTCACACATTTCTGTCTTACCGTATATGTGGCTGATGAACTTGATATGTGTGGTTTATGTTGGGTTTGTTGGCCTGTGTGGCTTCTGCCCTCTGAGTGGGTCTCTCCTGCTCCTGATTGGTTGCATTTTGGAGCTCAGTCTTTGCGAGGTACTGGTAATCTGGTAGGATCTGTGCCAGGGCATCATGAGGTGGGAGGTGATATCTGTCCTTCTGAAGCTGAAGAGAAAACACTGGTTTCAGTGGCAAACTCTAACTCCACACTAAGCTCGAAATTGTGTCAGGAATAGCACAAAATAAACATAACTTTTAACCTTAATCTTGTGTTTGGTGACCTTGAGACCATCTTTAACCACATAAAGACCACATAGTTTTACTTCAAATTAGTCTCTTAGGGTTTATATTTTTGGAGTTCAATTATATAATTGACCCCAAACAAAGGTAATCACCTACATGAAATCTGCAAAGCCAGTTTGTGGCAAAGGGAAGGATTATCACTTCAATACTTTGTCATCATTATTACACATACAGCAGGAGGTGAAGCCAATTCCAACAAAACAGGGTTAGGTTAAATAGATGACAGAAGCCACAAGAAAGCATTAACTGTTAGTTGTACAGAACAAGCAAAATGCTAAACAATCACCCATAACAATGTGGGAGAGCTGAATGACCTATGCAATGGTAACATTAAATCTACCAGTCCTGTTTTCACAGAAAATGAAAGCTTTTATCCAAAAAAAAAACGTTGCAGCTATGCCCTCTAACCACTCACTGTGCTTGTATGTGGCCTGTTCTGCCTCTTCATCTCTTGAATATAAAGGCTGTTACATCACTATGCATACAGTACCCACTTTATATCATGAGAGCTCTAATTCAACGGCCCTAAAGTCCTTTGAGTATGAGCCTTGCATATACAGTGTACACTGTCAATGGCTGCAGTTGCCAGGTAGCACAGATTCAAAGAAATGACATGAAACAGAGTCATTATCTATTATCTTCCTACAGGCGCTCCCTCCAACACAAATACCTCCACAGTCAGAGCCTACCTTTGTAGCTGCAGGGCTGCTGAGTGATTTTGTCTTTTTTGAGGCCTTCATCCAACAGGAAATGTCCTCATCAGAAGAATGAACACATAACTGGTGGTGGATGTGAAAGTTTGAACAATCAGATTGTAACCACAACACAAGCCTTGGCAACGCATTCAGGCCAATGGAAAGGGCTCCTGTTATGTAGAAAACACTGTGGTATCATGTTTCATATTCAAAACATTGCAGTACAAAGTACATTTACCCAAGTTCTGTAGTTGACTACAATTTTGAGGTAGTTTTATTTTTAGTAAATCCATTCTACTGTAATTCTAGTCCATTACATTTTGGAACCAAATATTGTACTTTTTACTCTTCTACAGTTTAGTCACGAGTTACTTTGAAGATTTCTATTCCTATTATAATATCATATGTATATATTATATAATATCCATTAATGATTCATTCATTCGGAGGAGTGACTTCCAAAAATTCTCTCTCTCTCTCCAGTCTCTCCAAAGTTCCTCTTACATAATCACTGAATCTTTGGACCTTTCCATAAACAATGTATTCATTTTTTTGCTCAGATCCAGATTACTAATACAAAATATCATCAAAAAATGAACTATGATGTATTAGTATAGATTAAGCCAACAAGCAGTATATGAAGTAGTTAAAACCAGCTCCACCTTTACCAGCTGCAACAATCAAGTAATACTTAATGCATCAATAATAATAATAATTCTTACTATTATAATATTATGGTAAAATGGGCCATTCTTTTTGTGCCAAATGTATTTTGATGATTTTACTTCTATGCTTTTACTTTTTATCTCTAAGAATATTACTACACTGACTTTTCTACTTTTAGTATTTTAAAGATCTGATTCTGCCACCGTTGCTTTGTTGTATCTTAGCATTGCCAGTAATATCAAACCTTATATTTATGCCAGAAAACAGTATGGAACAATCAATGGAATTAAAGGGAGGTTCCTGCTCAGTAAATACCAGCTCCCTGATGAATTAATCAGATTGATGGGGACTGACTGTGCCGTGCAGCACCTGTGGCACCACTGAGCATTTATTCCCAACTCCTCTCGACTCAATAAGCGTCTGATGTCAGATCACTGATGCTGTGTAAAAGACACATCTAATTTCAGTAAGAGTTGAATTTAAACTGTAAAATATTTTTTTTATTTGGAAAAATAGGACAGAGTATAGACAACTTGTCACTGTCAAGTGAAAAACATGTATCTCCAATTTTTTAATTTTTCAAAAATAAAAGTTTCCTTTTTCTTCCTACATTAAATAAACCTTAAATTAACTTAAAACTTCACTGGATGATCTGAAGTATACATGGACCCAAAGATGAAAACAGATCTGTTTTCATTAGCTCATGAAAAGCTGAGGCTTTGGCAATATGTGGTTTTTATAGGACAGTGACGAAATGTCAAAGGCTGACATTTTAGCCATCATGAATATAACATGACCTTAAAACCTTAAATAACTTGATAGTTGTGTATGTGCTTTTTTTTGTTGCATGAAATGTATACATATAAATTTTAACTTGCCTAAAGTGTGTCTACATATATTTATATGCAAATGTATCTGAAACCCTCAATAGCTGTGGATCAATAACTCTTCTGCTTTGGTTGCTCATTAGTGGTGAAGGCTCCGACAGACAATCATTGATGGCACAAGATCTGATTGAGACGAAATGATAAAAGTGGGGGCAGGGAGGAAAAGTCATCGATGTAAGACATTACTTTGCCAACTCATTTCCCAGTCTCCATCTTTACTAAATCTGCATTTAAACAGCAATGATAAAAAAAACACTGCTCTACAGTTACATGTCAAAATTGAACAGTGCCAATAAATCCTTATCCAACATTAACAGGTAATTAAATTAAATGTCATACAAATGTCATTACAAATTTTCCTCTCATAAACATGTGCATGGAGCATGGATATCGCTACTGCAGCTTATCATTTAAAGATCCTACGCTGTTCAGTTAAATATTTTCATAACTGACTGCTTTAATACGTGATAAATAATTCACTGGGTGCTTGCAGCTATGTGCTCTGCTAGAAGACATAATCTCTTGTAATCCAACAAGGGAAAACCTGTACCACTGAAAACACTTCCCGCAGAGTCTAATATCACATTATCATGTATGAAATTGCATGACAAATTTACAGAATCCTCAGAACAAAATCATTCATATTCACATGTTGTGCTCCGTGGTCGCTGCTCGTGTTCAGAATGCCTCTGACCCTGTTACATGTAATCTGTGAAGTGCTGGGGAGGGGAATGGGATGTATGCTGTGTATCCCCATACGAGAGGTGGGGAGGGGTGGGGTCTCAGTGACAGTCTCGGCCTGTGGCTGGAGCTTTCAGTAACATAATCAGAATTCAGCACACAGCTTGCAAAATGCAGCAAATGGGCTCTTCATTGGAGTGACAGCTCTGAGTCTGCTGCCACACAGGGCTTCAATTAGCCTGGCAGAGCAAGGTGGCTCCCAGGAGCTTTCTCTCCCTCCCTCCACATATTCCACCTTTTCCGTCCACCGCTATTTTTTTTTTTTTTTAAAACCTTCATCTGACCCAGACTTCACTCTTTTCCCTCTTTTCCCACATTTGGCCTCAGCTTCCTCCCCATCCATCCTGCTTCCTTAACCCTCCCATGCCACCATGCACACATGGGAAGCCGAGCGGAAATACTTGTAGTGTGCTAATGGACACAGACGTAAAAGGGGTGTTGGAGAACTGATGGGAATTGAAGCAGAAAGAGAAAAACACAGAGAAAAGAGGATGCAATGGTTTACATAGATGGTCCCTCAGTCACCACAGGAATTCAGCACTGCAGTGTGGGCTGCTCGGTTCCTGTTTTATGTCTGTGCTGCTGCAGTGGAGATCTTAATCAAGGAATAATAGGATTAGACGAGAGAAGCAACAGTTACACAGTCCTGCTTATCTTTAAAAAGAGAGCATTTCTCACTCAGGTATTTTTTTTTAAATGAGACATTTGTGTCATACTAACCTAATCTGCTGACAATAAAAGCCTTCATTAATTGTAGCTCTGAATTATATCGGGGTAAATTCCTATTCAAATTCTAATTTAGCCACATTGGTAATAATTGATCTGCATGTGGGCTCTACATGCAATTACATTCAAATATGTACAATTGAGTTTCAGTTAATTGTTGTTTCAGCAAGCTGTGACTCAAACATGTCTTGTGGCACCACAATATTTAATTACAGGCCTCCCCTGAGAAAATGACATTTTGCTCTGTGTGTAATCACATCTGTGCCCTGTCAGCAAAATAAAATCACATCTGCAGTGAGCCGTTACTGGACTGTGGCTATAAAGGTTTTTAAAATATGGCAATTGAGAGAGGAGGGAGGGAGAGGTAAAGAGAGAGAGAGAGAGAGAAAGAGAGAGAGGTGTGTGTCAAGGACAACATGCAGCTTTGACTCAAGGACGTGCGAGGCTGAGAGCCAATACCACTCCCTACGAGGTCCACAGTGAGAGCAAAGCCAAGGATTATCAGTAAATCAGCGTCTGTCAATTATGGTTATGCTGCCGTGAAACCACAGTCCTCCATAAATGAAAAGGGCACACATATAAAAGCAGGGCCTGAACATAATGAATAGTGTGGCCGATGAGTGCATCCAAACACACTGCTCTGTGACAACAATGGGGTGCTGAAAATAAAGGTACAATAGATCATATTTTCATGAAACAAACTGGTAACATTTACTCCCTTTATATATTGACTTAATATATTTGGTCAAGAAGTCCATAGTGTAAAGTACTTAGATATTTTAGGTAAAAGTACCAGTTCCGCAATGTAAAAATCCTCCATTACAGGTAAAAGTCCTGCATTTAAAATCCTGCTTAAGTAAAAGTACTGAACTTTTATCAGCTGAAGTATTAAAAGTAAAAGTACTTGTTTTGCAGGAAATCGGCTCCTGTGAATACTGACGCATTAATGTGTAAGTAACACTTAACGGCAATAGCTACTTCCAGTGCAGCTTGTTTATCTACTTTATATTATATTATAGTTCACTTGCTCAGGCTCCCCCAAAGGGTCACAAGATAAATCTGAGGAGTTGTGAGAGATGAATAAGAAGAAAAAGTTCTGATACAAACATTTGGATTAATCTTTGAGACATTTCTCTAATCTTTGGTGGAAGTGTTAATGATTCATAGACATACATACCTCTTTATTGGAAGGAATCACAAGTCAAAAAGATCGGGAACATCTGGTTTCATCATTAACAATGTGTTTATTTCATAAAATAATCATATGTTTTTTAATGTAAAATTTCAATCTGAAAAGTCAGTCAGTAACTGCAGCTGTCAGATAAATGTCATTCAGTCAAATATCGTGTCATGAGTAAAAGTTACACTATTTACCGGTGAAGTGTCTGTACAAGTATTAAGTGGCATAAAATGGGAGACCAAGCCAGCAAACCAAAACTATGATATAACACATGGAGGCTCTCCTTGGTGTTCAGTAAAACCTGTCTGTTTTCTGGGAATTCAATGATCCAACATGTACGGGAAAGGTGACTAACCCTCTTGGGACAATGAAGCAACCTAAACCAGCCTTAAAGCCAACAGCAGGCTGATATCTGAGCCACACCCAGCCACGGCACAGCAAGTGTCAGTGACAGCATTTCCCCGCAGGCTTAACATGACCTTTCCAAAATGCTATACAACTGAAGCTTAATGACTAACACACCAGTTGACATTTACCGAAGCCAGCTTACTGCCAAATAGTTCAGAAAAACATTAAAACGCTAATGTTGCTTGTATCCAAATGAGACCCCCCCCCCCTCCCCTCAAGACTGAAAGGTAGCGAGATATGTGTGAAACTTCATATTGTATCGGAAATGAGCTGTAACAACAATAGGTTTTGCAGAAATTATTCAATGGCAAAGTAGGACATTTAGTTGAAAATCATGTTGGGTATAGTTGCAACAACAACACAACAAATAAATCCAAATCAATTAAACATCTTTGTTTAAAATTAAAAGCACCTCCTGTCTGAGGCTGTGAAAAGGGCATGAAGATTGATGAGAGT